AGAAGAGAAGGTGGCTAGTATTGGAAAGATTTTGTGCTGCAGAAGTGTCAATTTTGAGAAAGAATGAATTACTCCTGAGATTAATTTAGGAGGAGACTCCTAGACAGTATTTGTATATCTAGTTTCTTGTGGGTGCAGAACTACTTATGCTTAGAAAGTGTAGAATTTTGAAATTATTCACAGATTTATCTCTGAGGGCACAAAATATATTTTTTAAAAAGCACACCTAGGGGCCAGCCCCATGGCACCACGATTAAATTCGCATGCTTTGCTTTGGCGGCCCAGGGTTTCACCAGTTCAGATCCTGGGTGTGGACCTAGCGCTGCTCATTGAGCCAGGCTGAGGTGGCATCCTACATGGCACAACCAGAAGGACCTACAACTAGAATATACAACTATGTACTGGGGCTTTGGGGAGAAGAAGAGAAAGAAAAAGATTGGCAACAGATGTTAGCCCCCACAATCTTTAAAAAAAAAAAAAAACAGCTAATATAATGTTGATTTAAAGTACTAGTCTTTTAGAAATCTGAGCTGCTATTCCTCTCTTCTAAAAAGGAAGCATGTGGTTTTGAAGACGTTTCTTTTAAGGTTATTTTGGGATATTTACAGGTGTCTATTGTTGGGTATTGAAAATGAAGAGTTGTAGAGAGTAGTGTAGATGGTTAGAACTAGGCTCAAGTAGAATTCTAATTTGCTGTGGTAACCCAAGTAATTTTACCTCTTTGGGTCTCAGTTTATCTATGAAATGAAGTAATTAGATTAAATTTTTGTTAGTGTTCCTTTTTTTTTGTTTTCTGAGGAAGATTTGCTCTGAGCTAACATCTATTGCCAGTCTTCCTCTATTTTGTATGTGGGTCACCTTCACAGCATGGCTGCTGAGGAGTGGTGTAGGTCTGCACCCAGGAACCAAACCTGGGCTGCCAAAGCAGAGTACACCAAACTTAACCACCAGGCTATGGGGCCAGCCCCATTCTTTAGTGTTCTTTTTTAGTTTTATAATCAGGTGATTTTTTTTTTTTTTTTGAGGAAGATTAGCCCTGAGCTAACTGCTGCCAATCTTCCTCTTTTTGCTGAGGAAGACTGGCCCTGAGCTAACATTCATACACATTTCCTCTACTTTATATGTGGGATGCTTACCACAGCATGGCATGCCAAGCGGTGCCATGTCTGCACCCGGGATCTGAACCGGTGAACCCCAGGCTGCTGAAGCGGAATGTATGCACTTAACCACTGCGTCACTGGGCCAGCCCCTAATCAGGTGATTCTTAAGAGAAAAAAGAAGGACCTCGTTTTGTAATATTTGAAAGAAACTAATACACTTGATTTATTACAGAACTAAATATCAACTCATGCAATTTAATAATCATGATTCCTTGTGGGAAAAACAAATAGATTTAAGTGACAAAAATAAGTTCTGAATAAGTAGGACTACAACACAAGATTTCTTAGTTTCTGATCTGTCATTCTTTCAACAGGGTCTAGTTGTATGCACTTTGCCCTAAATAATAAGAGAATGGGAATGGCTCTCTTGACCTCCAATTTCTCTACTAGTAATTTCTGATTATTCTCCCATCAAGGTTCACTGCCACCTAAGCCCTGAGCTGAGACCGTCAAATCGCTAAGTATAGGATTTAGAACAGATGGTCACAACCAATAGAGATTACCAATCTATTCTGTATCCAAACAAGTGCAGATCTTCATGGTGTAGTATCAGTTAGACATTTGGAGTTAATGTTAACTCTGTTCACTTTCATTAACCCTCATATTTAGCTGGGATGAGCTTTGGCTTTATCTATTAACTCATTTTACAGCACACTGCACACAGACCTTCGATGTTTGCTTAGGTTGCCAACTGCAATGTTGTGTGGCTTCATGAGTATCCAGTGCAGTGAAAATGCCTGTCCGTGGGGCTTTAAAAAGTGGGCTTCTCACCAATGTGGATATTAAGTACACCCCACACTCTGAGCCTGATTTTATTTTGTTTTATTGAGGCAAACATGGATCACACAGGAAATAGATTGAGTTTAAATATATAATTATATTTTAATATATCATGGCCACTTTACTAAATATTGAGCAATCAACCTAGGAAAATGTTGATGCTTTTTAAAAATTATATTGAAGTATTCAAGGGGCAAGGCATGATCTGTAATTGAAATGCAAGGCCCTTTAAGACATGTAGGGCTACCCTTGTGTGCGTTGCAGATGGTAATGTAAAATGGTATAGCTGCTGTAGAAAATGGTTTGGCGGTTCCTCAAAAAATTAAACAGAATTATCATCTGATCCAGCGATTCCACTACTAGGTATATACTCAAAAGAACTGAAAGCAGGGACTCAGATACTCATATACCGACGTTCATAGCAGTATTATTCACAATAGCTAAAAGGTAGAAACAACCCAAATGTACATCAACAGGAGAATGGATAAACAGAATGTGGTATATATACACACAATGAAATATTATTTAGCCTTAAAAAGGAATGAAATTCTGATACATTTTACAACGTGGATGAACCTGGAAAACTTTATGCTAAGTGAAATAAGCTAGACACAAAAGCACAAATAGTGGGTGATCCCACTTATATGAGGTACCTAGAATAGGCAATTTTACAGAGACGGAAAGTAGAATAGAAGTTGGCAAGGGCTGGGAGAAGGTAAATGAGCAATTATTGTTTAATGGGTACAGTTTCTATTTGGGATGACGAAAAGTTTCTGGAGATGCAGAGTGGTGATAGTTAAACAACATTGTGAATGTACTTAATGCTACTACATTGTGCAGTTAAAAATGGTTAAAATGGCAAATTTTATGTTATGTATGTTTTACCACAATAAAAAAAAATCTCCAAAGAAAAAGAAATGTAGGGGTGTAGGGTCTTGCACCTGTTTTCAAACCTCGTTGTATTTGCTCTTGTTTTTCTACCCATTTCATGGTTGCTTCATTCCCCACAGAGAGCTTCTCAGTGTGGGCTCAGTGTGCTTGAAGTTTCCCTGGTGGGTGTGGTTAGGTCAAAATCCACTGGTTTTACTTCTTACATTTGTTAAAAATTATGATGGTGGGTGGGTGACCCAGAGGTAGTTTAAAGTGGAAAAACAATGCATGTTGGACTTCCCATTCCAACAAGGAAAGCGTGCTTTTGTGGCAAACCAAAAGGCTAAGAATCAAGGGTGATGAAATACAGGCCTTCCGGCCCTCACTCTGTTCCCGATTTCTGGTTGTGGGAATCTGTTCTGAATCCAACTGCAAGTGGAAAACCCATCTTTGGCTGAGTGGCCAGGGAGGCCCTCCTGCCAATCCCCTAAATGTGCTGCTGAAACTTTGGCCCTGTGAGGATGGAGCTGAGGCTGTCTCCTAAGATCTATGCAGCTGTCAAGGTGGCTGCGATGGGACTGTGACCGGCCTCTGTACAGCATTTTGGCCGTGACCTTGAGACCTGCCAGCTCACAGCAGCTGTCCTGGTTCTTGCTCCAGTGCCACTGTTGCATGGCCAGGGGGCTAAAGGGAGGGAGCTAAACTCCTCTGGCTCTGCCATTCCCAGGGTCTTTTAAGTTCTAACTATGGTGCCCTGCTCTCCCAGCACCTACCACCCACTGGGCATCAGGGCAGTCCAGGTGTGTGAGTGTGGATGGCTGCTTGTTCCACCTCTGGCTCAGGTCCTAATCCCTGGGAAGTGAGTGACTCTGTCTGACCAGACTGGTGTGCAGACAGGCTCCACGTGGGGACCTGCTTGGCAGCTCTGCAGGCAGATGCTCAGAGACAGTTGGTGATCTTAGGGGATGGAGAAGCCAGAGGTGCCCCTCTTGTCCAGAGGTATAAGTCTGCCTCTGGAAGGGAGAGATTTCTTTGGGAAATGAAGGTCACCAGAAATGTCCAGAGCAAGAGAGAGAAATCTTTTCTCTCCAGCTATTCAGAATGGCAAGTGTAATTTGAAAACTCCTCCCCCTCTCCTTGTCCTCATCCTGTCCTTTTCCTTTTAAGTGGCTTTATTATTTTTTTTAATCCGCCTTTGTCATTGGACATTTATTGACAGAAATCAAATTGCTGTGTTTCTGGGCAAGGCGCCTGCTGCAAAGAGGTGTGGTTCCCGAGGAATGAGACACGCAGCCCAACAGCTGAGCCTACACTGTCCTCACATAACCTCCCTGCCTTAAATATCGCCAATATTTAGCCTTGCCTTATAAAGTAAAAATGCACAATACCTTCCAGAGTTTCAGCAAGCCCAAATGCCCCCCTCGGCTCAGTTATATCTCCTGTACGTTGAAGGCAGGGCGCTCACCCCTCCCCCCGCGCAGACCTGCCCTCGGAGCCGCCAAGAGGTTACTAATCAGGGAGTCTCCGCCATCGATCCGATGGCGGAGACCTGGGGGATTTGTGTGCATTGTTTTTGCTGAAGCCTCCTGTGATTTCGGCGCGACCAGATCCTCTGCATCGAACTCCATGTCGCAGCTTGTGGCTGCCTGTGTCCTGTGGTGAGAGCGGAGCCGCACAGGAGATCCTTTGTCTAGGAAGGCTAGGCAGAGAAGATCACTTTGGAGTTGCTAAGCTCTGCATTGCCATTGGCTGCACTCTTTGTGGGGCTGTTTTTGCAAAAGGCATGCCCAGCACGTCTACAGTGCTGGCAGGCCAGGGCTGCCTTTAAACACCATGATAATAATACCAAAAAGCAGTTTGCAGAACTGTTCCACTGTAGAGGCTTCCTCTGCAGAAGCAAGCAAGATGGCTACCTCGTGGGCTTCGCTGTGAAGAATGCAGAGGCTAATTAAGACAGACTTTAAGGGGAAAAAAGGGTATTTCCCTATTTCATCTTTATGCAAGGCTTTTTTTCAGTGACTTTTAAAGTATACATTTTACATAAGCTCTTTAGGTTCTGCCTAGCAAACATGTTGATGATTTTAAATGGTCTAAGTAGTTTTATAGAGAAATAGCCAAAAATTTTGGGGGGGTGGGAGCTAATTTTTTTTTCTTAAACGGAGGCTCATTTTGCAATTTGATTTTTTTTAGGTTATAAAGGAAAACAAGAGGCCCCAGAGGGAAAAGAAGCCCAAAGTTTTAAAGGTAATCAGCTATTGATTCAATCATATTTAATTTTTTTCCATTTCCTACAGTATTTTTCTGTCACTTAGGGGTAAATTTGGAGTACAGAGGATGTGAATTCTCCCAGATTTTTAGTAGAAAAATGAATTTTCACTCAACTAAAGTGTTTTCTTTCTTTTTTTTTGATGTGCTGCATAATGTGCATATTAGCATCCTTTATTTTTAACTTCACACAAGTCTGCAAAAGGAAAAGTTTATATGCAAAGTGCTGTGAATAAAATTTGTTTTTCTTTGTAGCTCCCTTTGTAGCATCTGCATTTGTGGTGTTGCACCAGTGTGTAAACTTAAGCTCTTAAGGAGAAAGACACTATTTGAAGTTGACAGCTATGATCCATTGTGATTTTAATAGACCTTTCATTAGATACTGTTTTAAAATGTGCAGTTTTTCATTCTAAAGGGAAAGGTCCTTATAGGTTTTAGTTCAGCTTAAAATATGTCAGCCTTTGAGATCTTACAGTCAAATTACAATTGCTTAATCTCAAATTCTATCATCTTTAATTTTGCCATTCATAGAGCTGTAGGAATATGCATATTTTCTTTATTTTCAAAATAGTTTGCCTAATAGGTGTTTAGTAGTAACCTAATTCAGTTTATAAGCTAGCAATCTGTTATGAGTTTTGTACAGTATTTAGAAGGGTTGATTTAAAAGCATATGGCATTACTAAAAGTTCAAGGCTTGCTTTAGTGTAGCAAATAGATGCTTATGTCTTAAAGGTTTCAAGTGGTATATTGCTATTATAAATGCAAACAAACTGAGCAAGCAACCCTTTTAATTCAAGAAGACATTAAGCAATGAAACTGCTAGTCTTTAAGATTATATTGTATACATATAATTAAAAATATTTTAACCTAATCTTAGCTTTTCTTTTACAAATAAAGTTTTAGCACTCAAAGAAGAACAACATGTTGAACTATGGATGTGGCAAATTCTTGTCTCATTTGTTTCCCCAGTTGTGTACCTTGAAATTGTTATTGACATGGAGAACCAAAACTAAATTGCTTTTTAATTGTCTGACCACCTCAGTTTCTGTTTCCTGTGCATTCATAACATTGCCATGTACAGTTTTCATCAACCAATGAGTAATTTATTTAATATTTACCACATAGTCATCAGTGAGCTAGGCACTATGATCATTGAAATGAATGAAATTGCTTGTCATAAATTCTCACTGGGCCTGGACAAATAGAATACTAGTTATTTTCAAGGTAGATGAAATCCTTCTCTGTTTTTCTTCTGCATATTGATCCACTCACCCCCCTTTACTCCCTTCCTTTCCCTCAACTGTAGAAGGATACCATGCAAAGCCCTACTTATATTTTTAAATCTCTTTTTATACTTTCTGTGTTTGGTGTACTCATCTCAGGAGTTTTGTCTTACATTCTTCAAGTGAGAAATAGTTTTAGTCCTGCTGTTATAAATGTGTCTCACTTTGCGAGGGGGGGGATGGGGCATAGGAGAAAGGGCTAGGCTGCGTGGACAAACTAATATAGACTAAGTAAGCTTGGTAGCTAAATCATCAGCCACCTTTGCTAGGACGTAGAATTGAACTTTGGAAGTGCTATTTAATTCTACATTTATTTTGTCAGTCTCTGGGTGTCTTGTCACTTGAAATAAATTTCAGAAGTAAATATACTGTGTGTTGCTTTTTTGAATCATGGCAACAGACTGACTTTTTAAAAAGTAAGGCCTGTGGGGGCTGAATTTTACGTGCCACAGCAAGCAGAACCAAATTGTTGCTTACTTTCCTCTATCGCTATCGATTATTGTATAAGAGTAAGGAAATGCTCTAAAAGGAAAAAAAAATTTTTTTCTGATGTTGGCATTTTAAGATGTTTTCTTCAGTTTTCTATTGGGCATAATATTTTTTGTTCTTCTCTAAAGAAAGCTTTGTTTCTCTGCTCCACAATAGAAATGCTAAAATACTTTCAGATTTTACCTTGATATGTGTAAAATACAGTTAGAGCAAATGTAGAATATTATATAACCCTGAAGGAGATATTAAGAAATGAAATCCACCTTTTGGGGTGGAGGGTGGGGGAGGAGTACAACCTTCAATGTAAGGTGTTATGGGTGAGGATTTATTCCAGCTGGCTGCCACCCAGGATCAGTGATAAGAATCTCAGGCTACAGCTTGGTCTCTTTTCATAAGACACTTCTTTGCTTTTGGCATTGTACCACAGGTCTAGTCTGCTTCCTTTAATTTGGCCTCTTAGATTTTCAAATCTCCTGAGTCCCTTCCTCTTTGTCAGGTGGATGGTAGAGATATCCTGACTGATTTTCATCTTCATCATCTATTAGGAAGTAGTTGGACAGATGAAGAGTCTGATTAAGGAAATCGGGTGTAGAATTGAGCTTGTCCCATCCTACTCTGAACCTGCTAACTCAATACTGAATCCAGTTGTGGAGCTGAAATTGCCTGGCATGTCTCACATCTCTCGTCTTTAAACAACCTATTATTTATATTGATAACCTATATTTATGCCATTGTAATTCAAAATTTAAAACTATAAATAATGATCTCAAATTCCTGACTAGAGAGAGCATTTTCCTCTAGCCGAAATGACAGTTTCTGTCCAAAGCACTTTAATGGCCAGAATGGATATCAAATGATGGAGGAGGGGCCTCAGCACAAACTCCTGCCCCCACTAGTGCTGGAGGACCAGGTTCTTGCTCAGGCCCTGTTGATGATCACTAGAGCTATTTTCATAGGTAGATGGCAGTTTGCTAGCTTTGTTATAATTGTTTCCTTGACTCTTGAGTAAGGTAAAGGGATGCAATCATTTCAGGCCTTGATTCATGAAATTGGACTTGTGAGTGGTATGGTTTGGAACTCCTCTTGGTAAAAACATTTATGTAAGTAATCTCCACTTTGTTTGGCAGGGTAGGAGGATACGTTCCCTTAGAAAAAGTCAATTTTAGGTAATTTCACTTTGGTTAGGTTGTCAGTCATTGTCCCTGGAGAAAATCAAATTGCACAGTCAGTTGGGGGTATTGAGGAGAATTTAGTGGAGGGATTGTTTAAAAGGTGTGGACAGGGTTACAGAAAAAACTATGGATGGCAAAGCATCCCAGGGCTAATGATAGCAGAGAGCTATTGCCACTCCTTGGTGTAAAGGGGCAAGGGAGCAGGAACCCAGGGAGAATAGTTGGAGTTGAAAAGAGGGAGTGGAGGCTTTTGTTGTGGCCTTTGGTTATGGGATCTTTCTGCAAAGAGAAAGTCATGAGGAGGGAGGGAGGTATGGAAATAAATATCCTGCCTTCCAGTTTCCTGCTGCTTTCATTGGTTGATCCCAATCAGAGGCTAAAAGAAAAGGGAGCCCACTGATGAAATATATCCTGGCCAGCTTCCTGCAGCATGTAAGAGGGTGTAGAAGATGGAGTGTGGACCTGGAGGGGCAAACAGAACATATTCGGCATCCCTAGTGACCGCAGGGGCAGTATGATAGGGTCAGAAATAGTAACAGAACCTTGATTACGTAAGAAGGTAAAGCTGGGTGAAGTGTATGTAAGAACTCTGTTATTTTTGCAACTTCTCTGTAAATCTAAAATCGTTTCACAATGAAAAGTGTGGGCATCCCTGCTAGGGGACTGCTTTTATGCATTCTGTAATTAGATACTCTTTCTAGGTTGGTAAGGGACATTTTCTAGCTATTTGGTTGTAAAATATCATCGAAGTAGTATTTGGAAGAACTGGGTGAGCAAATATAAAGAAATGTCAGTGGATATTAAACTAGGAAACCATCTACAGATAATTTATAAAAGAAAAAAATGAAAACTAAGTGATCTTCCTGCTAGCTTTTACACTGGCAGCCGTGCTCTCCACTGTTTCCTTCCTTCCTTGATGATGCTGATAAATGAGAACAAGTGGTGGTGGGGGTGATGGGGGGTGGGGGACAAAAGACATGTATTTTACTGGGAGAGTATGTCTTTTTGACATATGTTTTAAAAGGAGAATCAAAATCATAAATGAATCACATTCATAGATTGTCTTGATTTGCATGACATAGTGACATTCAAAATATTTAGTATCATCATTGCCTGGCACATAGTAAATGCTCAATAAGTGTTCTTTCCCTGAACAGCATTATTATTAACATCCAATAAATATTTTTTTAGCACATACTAAATGCTGGGGCTGCAAAAGTGTACAAGACCAAAATGATTTCCACCCTCAAGGAGATTAAATGTTGCTGAGGAAAGGCAGGCAAAAAAATAAAAGTGAATAAATTACAAATTGCGGTGCATTCTTTGAAGGAAACAAAAAAAGTGTAAGAAAAGGAAAACATCATCTAGGGAAATTTACTTCATATCTTTGAGAACTATTCCCTTCATTTGTAAATTGTTATATGTACTCCCGCTGATTTAAAAGTATCAAGTTACATACAACCGAGTTACCTTGTTTGTTTTTAAAACCCATTAAGTTACAAGAAATGGAAGATAACAGTTACTAAAGATTTCTCTCTACATATTTATCTACAACTTTGTTTCAGTTTTTAAAAGAAATCATTGGTAAATGTCTTAACTCTGGTTATAATGTAACATTCCATGACATGTAGCAACATGTTGCAAATTTTAGTGATAGATCAAATACTGAGCTTGACCATTGTTCAGGAAAAAAACATGCCATTTTGATTGGGTCCTTCATAGTCTCAGGCAATGAATCCCAGACTTGTGAATATAACAAACCAGTGGGGGAAGAAATTCAGAGTGGGTGGTGAGAGTATCTACAAAGGAATACCAATTTTTTTAAAAAGCCATGTAAATTGAAGGATGATAATCTCAGAATACAGGACGGTCATATAAATTTAATAATTTAGTTTTATGATTCAACACATGGTCCTTATTTTCCTCATTATGTCATAAGTTGGCAGAAACTGTCAAAAACGTGTGCTCATCCATCAGTGTTTATTCACACGATCAAAGGCACACATGGGGCTTCTGGTTTGCATACCCAGAAATT